TACAATGTGACTGGCTGGATTTTTTTTCTCGTTTGGTCTCTCATAGTTGAGGTATACCTATGATGAAAATTACAGGCCTCTCTCATCTTTTTAAGTGGGAGAACTTGCACAATTGGTGGCTGACTAAATACTTTTTTTCCCCACTGTATATATATATAAATAACTAAAACAATGCTTTTATAAGTTAAAGGTCTTTTAGTAGTTTAGGTCGTGGTACAGATTTTACTGTGAAACTTTTAATAATTTTTTTAAGTAAACGTAAGAATGACTTTTAAAAAATCTCATTATTGATTTACATTACAAGCTATCAGAATGTCATATTGTTTTATAACCATATAAATATCACTCAACTGCATCATATTTTTGCTCCATTTGGTCTTCTGAATAAAATGTAGGCATTTATTTCCCTCTATGAGTTTCATATTTTCCTGTATCATACAATATGAGATATAAAAGCCTGATGTATAAAATATTATACTCAACAAAATACATTTTTTGATTCCATTTCAAAATATTTTTTTTTTTTCTTATTTCATATGTCAGGCTTTACAAGGCCAAGAGTAGAAACTTTTCCGTAGTCACCAATTAAAAAAAAAAAAAAAGCTTTAACTGGCCTAAGCTTGTCTCAGATGGATTTCTGACACTTTGCTGGTTTTCGAAGGGTTTGGGGCAGTTTTGAGCTGGAAGACCAGATGGCCGACAGGCTAAACCAGCTGAACACCAGTTTGGTCAGTTTTGGAGACCAGCTGACTAGCTTAGCCTGGGTTTTCCAGCAAAAACCTTCCCGTTTATGTAATAGTAGCTGAACATCCCACTTACTCTTGGAGAGTGCACACTGTCTGTCCTGTAACTGCAGTTAAGACCTTGTCGTGTTGATTGGTGCCTGTGTTCGTCCAGGGAAAATCTGTCAGTGTGCGGTTCTCGCTGGTGGCTCCGCTGCGTCCTGCTCAACATTCTGCTCTTCCTCTTGCTCTTCTTTCTCACAACCCCTGCTATCATCGTAAACACTATGGACAAGTTCAACGTCACTCGGCCGGTTGAAAGCTTAAGGGTCAGTGACCATCAAAGCCGTTTTATAACTGTCCGGCTGTATTACGCCACATTAGAATGCGAAATAAAACTGAAAGTGCTTTTTTGTGTTGTTTTGGGAAGTCGAATGTTTTGAATTTGATCTTTTACTGTCTTCTAATGTCTAGAACCCAGTAATTACCCAGTTCTTCCCCACCCTGCTCCTGTGGGCCTTTTCCATTCTCCTGCCCTTCATTGTGTACTATTCATCTTTTTTTGGGTACCACTGGACCAGGTATGATGCTGTTTCCTCCGTCTGACTTTAAACTTTTCTAGTCTGTGTATAAATGTGAGAGAACTACAGGGAGCTCAATTATACATTAAAGTGAATGAGTTGTACTGTAAATATAATTATAAAAAATAATTATTGTGTTATTAATTTTTTTTTTTACTAATTTAATGCAAACTTATTGCAATCAGTTTCTAATATGATCCCAGTTGTATGTTAAAACAACATGATTTTGATTATCATAATGCATCTGGATTATACACTACCATTACAAAACTTGGCTACCATTATAAACACTACCATTATAAAAAATTGACATATTTTAAAATATTATTATTAATATATTTTAAAATGTAATGTATTCCTGTGATGGCAGAGCTGCATTTTTAAGCATCATTACTCCAGTCTTCAGTGTCACATGATCCTTCATAACTCATATGTTGATTTGGTGCTGAAGAAACATTTCTTGTTATTTTATTATCTGCAAACACTTGCGCTGCTTAATATTTTTTAATGCTTATTATTTTTGTTATACTTTTTCAGGATTTATTTATTTTTTAGTATTTTTAGAAATTTCAAAATAATTTATTTTAAATACTCATTTATTAATATTTCATATTTTCTCTTTAATATAGTTTTAACATTTAAATTGGCATACATTAAAGGCAGTACAAATACTACCATACTGCATAAAAACTTTTAAAGTTAACAAATATGTTATTATTTATATTAAAATAGCGAGAATGTGATTTTCTTGCATTGTGGTAATGAGAATTGAGGGGAAGGTGTTGCTTGATTCACAACTATGAATATTGTACACACATAAATACATTGAACAAAATTATAAACGCAACACTTTTATTTTTGCCCCCATTTTTCATGAGCTGAACTCAAAGATCTAAGACTTTTTCTATGTACACAAAAGGCCTATTTCTCTCAAATATTGTTCACAAATCTGTCTAAATCTGTGTTAGTGAGCACTTCTCATTTGCCGAGATAATCCATCCACCTCACAGGTGTGGCATATCAAGATGCTGATTAGACAGCATGATTATTGCACAGGTGTGCATTAGGCTGGCCACAATAAAAGGCCACTCTAAAATGTGAGCCTAAGGCACACCTGTGCAATAATAATGCTGTCTAATCAGCATCTTGATATGCCACACCTGTGAGGTGGATGGATTATCTCGGCAAAGGAGAAGTGCTCACTAACACAGATTTAAACAGATTTGTGAACAATATTTGAGAGAAATAGGCCTTTTGTGTACATAGAAAAAGTCTTAGATCTTTGAGTTCAGCTCATGAAAAATGGGGGCAAAAACAAATTGCTTTTATAATTTTGTTCAGTGTAGTAAATTCATGAAGCAGCTTCAGCCTAAGTTCTTTTTCCCCTTCCTTATATATGTAGGAAGACATTCCTCACACATACACATTTATCAACACACACATAAATGGGATTGTTTATTAAAAAATGAAACTTCTGTCATCATTTACTCATCCTCAAGTCATTCCAAGCATGCTTTGGTTTGCATTGACTTGCATTGCATGGAAAAAAATCATAGTAAAAAAAATATATATAAAAATAAACAACAACACCAAGACATTTATCAAAATAAGTCAAACAATAAGTCATACAACACATACATGATTTTTATCAAAGTGATAGTGTCCCAATGAGCAGTATAAGTTTGTGCTATTGGTAGTTGTATTTGCAATGCAGCTTAAATCTATTGCATAAACATGTTCATATCAGCGCACAAACATATTGCATAACTGCAGAACCCCAACCCAGTCTCCCACCCACCTATGCACAACACGTTTCCTCTCTCCTGCTCTCTCCGCATGCCTCTCCAGGCTTGTTGTCATAGTGATCACAACAAGGGAATAATCATATGCACACTGGCGGCGTCTTTCACAGAGTCACATTATAGTTCATGTGGATCAAACCCTCTGTATTGTGCAACTGCAGAACCTGCAGCACTTGAGTATCTGTTGTATTTCCACTGGAATCACTGATGATTAATATACACAAGTCAACATGAAATCTAATTTTAATATTTACTTCATACGTTTACATTTTTTTAACCATGAAATATGTCACTTGAGGCAAGAATTGTGTTTTATGTCTGTCTAATAGAAGAACTGGTGTGAAAATAGAAGAGAAATTAATAATACATCATGTAAACATCTGAAAATGTGTTTATTTATTATTATTTAATATATTTATTCTATTTGTTGAGGTGAAATCTGTTGAATTTTCTTATTATGTGTGTCTCTTTCAGGTCCGGTGAGAATCAGGTCACCATGCATAAATGCTTTTTACTGCTTGTCTTCATGGTAATCATTCTACCATCACTGGGTCTATCCAGGTAAACATCCTATAATCTGAAATACAGTAATTATAGGCTATATAATAGCATGTCAATAAAAGCACTTCAAGCAAAAATATACCTTTTTGGTAATATACTGTTTTGTGAAACGTGTAATTTTGTCTCAGGATAACATTTTTCCTTTATATACAGTACTATATATGTATGTGGGTCAATGATAAACAATGATGTCCCAATTATGCCAACATTTTTATTTTTTTTGTAAAGAATTTCAATCTTTTAATGGGGCTATTTTCTTTTTTTTTTTTACAATCCCCAGACAGTTACACCACCTAAACATGTTTAAAATTGATCCCCATAAAAATATCTAAATTAATTTTAACTCAAAAACTGAAAACATGTTTATAGTAGAAGATTCATTTTTATGAACTTCATTTTAAAATGTATAGCAAGCATATGTTTTAACTCACACAACATAAAACAATAGATAAAGGCTATCAGAGAGTATCCAAACACTTGGCTGGCAAAAAACATTAGTCTATGTTTTCTAAACAAAAAATAATATTCATAGTTAATGTGATGAACTGGTGGTTACTCTGCTAGGTAATGTGTCGACTGGAGGGGAAATGACTTCATACACCCCTATAAATCACCTTAAAGCCAGTTAGTAAAAAGGAACTGAACAAATGGCTGATATATTGGCATTAATACAGTTTAAGTGTCCAAATACTTTTGGTAGCCACTGTATATATAATGTACATGTATTATTTTCTTGTCTGCTCCCCAGCCTGGATTTGTTCTTCAGGTGGCTCTTTGACATCCACTTCCTGGATGAAACAGATGTTAAGTTTCAGTAAGTTGCCTAAATCTACACCTGCTGGTTAATTGAATTAGAACGGCAAGATTCACAATTTGTTGAGACCTACATCCACTTGGTTTTATCTCCTCAGATGTGTGTTTTTGCCTGATAATGGAGCTTTTTTTGTGAACTACGTGATCACGTCCAGTCTGATCGGAACGGCTATGGAGCTTCTGCGTATTCCTGCTCTTCTGGTGTACTCTCTACGCCTTTGCTTTGCCAAATCTAAAGCTGAACGCATACATGTTAAAAGAGTGAGTGAGTCCGTACAGTGAATAGTGTGTGAAGTCTCCCTAGCTGAAGGCTTCGTTTATCATTATTATCTTATCAAATATAGTAAAAACAGTCAATTCCTACAATTTAAAATAATTGTTGTATATTTAATATATTTAAATTGTTATTTATATCTGTGATAGCAAAACTGAATTTTCAGCATCATTACTGTAGTCTTCAGTGACACATGAACCTTCAAAAAAATTGTAATATGATAATTTACTTCTAAAGAAATATTTCATATTATAAAGGCTGAAAGCAGTTTTGCTGCTTAATATTGTTTGATAAATATAAAGTTAAAAACAATAGCATTTATTTGAAAAAGAATTTGTTGTGTAACAATGTAAAGATCTTGACTGTCACTTTTGATCAATTAGATGCAACCTTGCTGAATAAAAGTATTAATGTCTTTAAAAAATATAAATAAAATGTGAACATCTCTAGTATGTATATGTAAAATTATACTTATAAGTAAAGTAATAATGTATATATAGTAGTGCTGTCAAACAATTAATCGCGATTAATCGCATCCAAAATAAAAGTTTTTGTTTAGATAATATATGTGTGTATACTGTGTATATTTACTGAAAGCAGTTTTGCTGCTTAATATTGTTTGATAAATATAAAGTTAAAAACAATAGCATTTATTTGAAAAAGAATTTGTTGTGTAACAATGTAAAGATCTTGACTGTCACTTTTGATCAATTAGATGCAACCTTGCTGAATAAAAGTATTAGTCTTTAAAAAATATAAATAAAATGTGAACATCTCTAGTATGTATATGTGAAATTATACTTATAAGTAAAGTAATAATGTATATATAGTAGTGCTGTCAAACAATTAATCGCGATTAATCGCATCCAAAATAAAAGTTTTTGTTTAGATAATATATGTGTGTATACTGTGTATATTTATTATGTATATATAAATACACACACATACAGTATATATTTTGAAAATATGTCTATGAATTTCCATGCATATATTTATATTCATCTAATTGATATTTTATATAAATATTTTAAATGTATAAACTTAACATATTTTTCTTAAATATATACATGCATGTGTGTGTATTTATATACACATAATGCATATACACTGTTCACACACATATATTATGTAAACAAAAACTTTTATTTTGGATGTGATTAATCGCGATTAATCATTTGACAGCACTAATATATAGTAATTGTCTAGAACCCCCCCCCAAAAAAAACCTTTATTCTGTATTAATAGTTCTTTATTAACATTCTTATTCACGTTCATGTCGTTCCAAATGCAAACACTATTAAACTAAAGAAGAATATTTGAAGAACCTTCACACAGCCCTTTTCCATCCAACGACTGTTCATAGCACCAGAAATAGGAGTAAATACACTAACAACCTGTTTCTCCATTCTCATCCTCAGAGTCAGGCCTACGAGTTTCAGTTTGGTCTTGAATATGCCTGGACCATGTGCATATTTTCAGTCAGTATGACCTACAGCATCACCTGCCCCATCATTGTACCTTTTGGTGAGTCTGCGTAATTTTAGAGTTTTTATTTTACAACAAACAGACTTTTCTTTTAGTACTTCTTTTCCGCTCCCTAATTTCCTCTTTCCTCCCAATTTGCACTCAAATCCATTTGTCTGTCGTCTCCACTGCACCATTTGTGTCGTGTTTTTCTTTTCCTCTCATTTTCTCTGTTCCTTTTTACCCACAGCTCTTTTTTCTTTCCGTCAGTCTTGATTTCTACCTCCGTGCCTGTTCTAATACCTTGTTCCCGTCCTCAGTCAGTGTGTGGGCGTCTGAGCCGTATCTCCAACAGCATCTCAGTATCACGGTGTGACATGGCCGCTATGTGCGAACCCGCTGTAGTCTTCCAGACGCTCCGACCTGTCTAGCCGAGATCCAGACGCCCACTCCACGCCTGTTCTGTCACCAATACACACCATGACTGTTTATTTACTATAGACTGACATCCATCATCATGATTTTTCACTTAGTTCTGAATTCATTTGGCAACTTGCACTCACGTGTGGTCTATGTAAATATATAAATATTTTACCTGTGCAGTAGCATACAAGGTCAGGAACACTTCATACAATATGACTTTACCTGCAAAGCATTGCTACTGAGCCATCGGAAAAGCACTTTTAAAAATGACAGTGTCATTTAGAAAGATCAAAGATTATTTGATAACTCCAGCTCTGTTCATTTCGCAGGGTTGCTGTACCTTGTACTGAAGCATATGGTAGATCGCTATAATATCTACTATGCCTATTTACCCACAAAGCTCAGCCAGCGGATCCATTCGGCCGCCATCAGTCAAGTGGTGGTGGCGCCCATTCTCTGCATGTTCTGGCTGCTGTTCTTCTCTGTGCTCAGACTGGGTAGGTTCACAATGTCATGCCTAATCAAATTTATGGGGCATGTGCCTCTTCAGATTTTCCTAAAAATATACTGTATATATATTATATATATGCATTTTTCAATATTTAGTTTTTTTTTTTTTTTTAAAGAGTTTTTATTAAAATTGCAATGCTGTTCTTTTCTATAAAATTATAAAAGCCATGACTGTCACACTTGATCATTTAAATGCATTCTTGCTGAATAAATGTATTAATTTATTTTAAATATATATTTAAATGCCAGTGTATAATTGAACTGATATTGATAGTGATTGTCTAATGCCCCCAAGAAAAGAATAATTATTTATTCACATTCATGTCATTCTAAACACTGTTGTTATTTTTTTTCTGTGGTACACTAAAGAAGAATGTCTGAAGAATATTCACACTGCTCTTTTCCATATAACAGCTGTTCACAGTGACTGTCAGGCACAAGAAATGGCATTAAATACACTACCTAGCTATCTTTCCATTCTGTCCTACGGGTTTCAGTTTGGTCTTGAGTATGTCTGGCTGGACCATGTGCATATTTTCAGATACTGTAGTTGAATCTGTTATTTTCTCTAAATTTCTGAAAGTACGTACTGAAGTTGTACTTGCATTAAATGTTTTTCTTTGTTAAAAATATAACCAAACCACATAAAAAATCAATGCTGCACTTGGGTGGTACCTTTTCAAAAGATACACCTTTGTATCTAAAGGGTACCTTTTGAAAAGGTATGGCCCCAGTGTCATCTTTTGTACCTTTTTTTCTGAAAATGTGCCAAATAAATCCAAGGCTTTCCTCTCAGATTAGAAAAAAAAACTGCCAATTAAAAACATTTCTAGAATGACTGCATAACCTATGGATGAAAACCAAATGCTCTAATGCCGACATTAGAATGTGTTCACATTTTACTGTAGAATACATGTTCACTTGGAGTCAAGAAGACAGTCACTCCAAGACCCAGACCAGACCCCTTAAAGGTGACATATCATGAAAATCTGACTTTTCCAGGTTTTAAGTGCTATAATCAGGTCCACGGTGCATCTACCAACCAAGGAAACGTGAAAAAGATTAACCCAGTAACTTTGTTTTGCTAAGCCTTTTTCTGCAAGCGTTTGAGAAAACAAGCGCGTCTGATTTCGGTCCCTTGGTGACATGGCAAAGGGATCTCATTATAATATTACCGCCCCTTAATCTGTAAATGTAATACACCCGCAGCGCCGTCATTGTGTTTTCGCAAGCAACAATGGTGTACAAGTTCTAATGCCATTGAGAAAGTTTGAGCAAAACATGCTAACTGTTCTGTCTTTGGCTGCACAGACGAGCACAGAACACTATTTGGAGTCCCAGCCTCAGAGGAGACAAGAGAGCAGTGGATTTATTGATTTATTTAATGTATATTGCTGCTGCCACACAGATCTAAAATAAACCCGCGATTTTCCCAGCAGTTTACCTTCACAGACATAACCGACTGTGTTTGTAACTCGAGTGTGTTTTTAACGTAAACTTGTATGTGAATGAGAACTTAAGTCTAGTACTCACATGCTGTGTGGTGGCCTCTTTCTGTCCATGTGCTTCGGATGTGTGCGCTCAGAAAACCGTATATCAGAAGTTTAAACTAATATGGTTTAAAACGCATGATTTCAGCACGATAAACATGATCATCAGAACCAAAACAGATGTTTTTAGCAGGTCCGAGCTGTAATGGCGCAGCTCTATTCTGGAAAAGAGGGCGGGGAGCAGCAGCTCATTTGCAATTTTCAAAATGATATAATAAATGATCTATGGAGTATTTGGAGCTGAAACTTCACAGACACATTCTGGGGACACCAGAGACTTGTATTATATATTGTAAAAAGGGGCATAATATGTCTCCTTTAAGACCCCAGCTTGGAACAAGACTAGACCACTCCAGGCCTAGATCCAGACCAATATCTAAGCACCAATGCTCAGATTCAGACTGTCCATTTACAATGAACTAGAAAGGAGAAAATGCGTAAATTATTACAGCATAAATTCTAAATGCTAAGCCACTTTGACAGTAGCTAATTAGAGTCATGAAAATCGTTGCAAAGTCTCTGTAATGGTGAAGATACTTTGCTGACCTTTGCCTGAGGTAATTTACGTTTTTTTTTTTTTTTTGGAATTTGCAGTCAAGACAGAGGTCTTGTCTAAGTACATATAACAAAAAAACATTTCCAGAACCAGACCCAAACCAAGAGACTAGTAATGAGACCCAGACCCAGACCAAGGCCATGTTTATGTGGTCTTGAGAGATCTTAAGACCAAGACCACAAGATCAGGTCTCCTGCTCTGTCCCATATAAAAGCAAAACCTTGTGGTTTATCTCTTGTGCAGGTCCAGTGCAGCCCATCAGTCTGTTCACTTTCATAACTCTCTTGTGCTGTATTGCCTTCTCCTGCTTTGGCTTCTGTCTGAAAAAACTACGACCTGACAGATCAACAAGCTATCAGGTCAGTGATTAAACCTTGATCTTGATGACTTGTAGAAACAGGGTGCATATGGTGGAAAAAATAGTTAATGAGTTAATGAGTGAATATCTAGCTTATATTTCACACCAAAACCATCAGAAAAAAAGTAATTCTATTTTTACATTAAGCAAAATTGCATTTATGATTTGTTGCATTGTGACATTATTGTTATGACAGTTTAACACATTTTCATTTTCAGAAATTAACAAGGACATGGGGGCATTTTACATTTATATTATATGATATGGTTAAGCAATATCACACAAGCAGAGGGTTTTTAAAAGCTATGTTATATTGATTCTATACAACAGTTAAACAAATTTTAGACACAATATTGAGGATATTGTCTGTTTTTGCTTTATTTCATGAAAATTGCCACAGCATAAACATTGTGCATTTCCAATCAGCACAAAGTGGTGTTGTGTTACTAAATAAATCTGTGCTTTTTAAATGAATCGGTTGGGTGAATGATTCAATGACCCATTCATAAAGATATCACTTGCTTCATTGCTGAACGATTTATATCACCTATTAGCACCCAGGATCATGATTCTGATTCCCAGGGAGCACATGAGCTAAAAATGATAAAGATATATACCTTGAATGCAGTGTCACTGTTATTTGCAGTTGGCTTATCTATTTCATCCATGAATACCCCCAAATGTGTACATGCATTAACAAAGTTATGTTTTAAAAACAGGAAAGTTTATGATTGTTACCTTAACAACTAGATGCATTTGTCAACAGTGCAGCCTTGAAAACACTGAAATGAAATTATTTTAGATGGGCTTTGAAAATAAGCTCTCAAAGATGATTTATTTAGGAAAATAATATCTTCAGGCAGTTAAAACTGATTGCTGTTTTGTTTTGTTGCAGATGTCCGATCAGACGACAGAAGGAGGCTTCACTGATGCGGAAAGAAGCACCGTTTCCACCACAGCCACAGCTAATGTACCTGCTCATCCTGTCACAGATCATTTCATTCATCACACTCTCATTTCAAGTCCTCTTTATGAAATTAATTTGTCTCTCTCCTCTCATCTCCTCTAAGGTTTCCACTCACAGTGTCAAAGGCACTTCACATGTAGCATGTTGCATAAACAAAAAAAGAAGCTCTTAAGATAATGACACTCTTGCTGTCCACCTACTCACCTCTCGTTCTTTCCCTCCTCAGCTTTTTATAGCCTCTGTCTTGCTGGAGCCAGAGCTGGGCCTGACTCCCATGCCCTCTCCGGCCCACCAGAGCTACGGCACCATGGGGAACAACCAGAGTTCAGTGCATGACGCCGAAGGGGTGGAGGAGAAGGATCTGGAGGAAACTTTGGAGACTGAACTCAAGGATGAGCCAAATCCCAGCTGCCCGAGCCCTCTTATGGACAGTCCTGTGGGTTTCCAGTGACCAACCTGCCCCCGGTTCCCACTCCCTAACGCTCAAGCCCCATGCCTCATCTTAGCTAGTGGCTGATAAAGAGGCACTATGCTGCAAAATGTTTCCTCTACAACCTCCATTTACAAGTAAAAGGCAACAAATTGCGGACATCCAAGCAATCTGCTTCAAAAAGCTTGTTGGGAATTCACTGACATGGTGGTTTTAGTTCTGAGGACTTTGATGAGCTTTCAAGGAAGTATCTGAAGTGGATAAAAGCAAAGATCTGTCAAAGAACGAGACCAGCCACTTCTCTTGCTTGGACTACACTTTCTACTTTCTTCTGTATTTTTCTTTTCTCTCTAATGACGTTAATGGGTGTCTGGTGGGTTGGTTGACTGAGGCTTGGAACATTGTATTTCAACAGATGTTTCAATTTACTTTTTTTATGCATAGTCACATTGTATAGCTCCAAAGAGTTGAGACATCCAAATCTTATTCGCTTATTATTAATCCTTTTGCTGTTGTTGCAGTTTGTGCTTATTATTGTTATTTTTATTCAGTACTTGTATTTTAGCAATGGTACAACATTATGCTGAGAGCGCATTGTTTTCATGTGTTTACTATTATTAGATTATTATTACTGTTATTAACACCCTCAACCTTTATTGCAGTGTGCACCAGAGTCAGTCACTCTCAGTTATTATTTGTTTTACAGTGACAATAGCAGTTGTGTTGTGCATACTGCAGTCAATTGGCACTACAGTAGACTTCAAAGTCAATGAGGCACTCATTCCATAATTTGTTTTTTTTCCTTTCCTGTGAAATTCAATCAGTTGTTTGGTCTGTGGGAGAGATGTGAGGACATTCGAAAGTGAGCTTTTCACGGACTAATATACAGTCTAATTTAGCAGACTTCACTTAATGAACTGGAAAAAAAAATATCTGCAAAAACAATCAGTTTGTAGGAAAAAAGAAAACAAACAGAGATGTTAAAGGAATAATCAAAAAGACTTACGCTTTGTTGGCATAAATTTAACTCGCTCAGTTTCTACAGTAACACACTTACAATATGGTCTATGGAGCATTACAGAAGGATTAAAGCTCGAAAAACCATTTATATTAATGCTCCAGGCAAATAAATAACCACTGACTTCTAAAATTAAACATGGTCTTTTTTGGACAACAAATTAAGTAATTCCTATATGTTCAGAATCACTTTTGTCATTGAGTTCATACCTTCCTACTTCAGCATTTAATACCAGTTATTATAAACTATGAGTTATATAAACTATGATTTGTTTTAATAGTTGTATTTAGTCAAATTTGTTTCAGTTGTATGTTATTTGTGCCATTAACATTACTCCGCTTTGTAAAAATTACTCGCGGTTCAGTGAGGGAATCAGTTGGTAGAGGGAATCAACTTGGTAGCGGTTCAGAACAATTTCCTGACTGATTCAAATAGTAATTCATGAGCGAACTCGAGGCTGTTACGTGAATCTTTTTGACTTAACGAACCGATTCGCAAGAGTCATTTTGTTACGAATCGGACATCCCGCTCTTTGTTCCTTGTTCTAAGGATTGTCGGACAGAACCACATTTGAGCGTGAAGTCTTTCACAGCTTGTTTTTACATTGTTGTTGCGCATTTTAGTCACCGTCTAGAGCCCTGTGTATTAATATAAAAGTGTGTTATTTGAACTGTAAGTCATTTTAGGTTTACATCATCCAAAAGACGAAAAATTAAGATCTAAATTTGATCAGACAAGGTAAGCGGTTTTTCATGATAACATATATTTACATTTTGTGGTTCTAGAATTGAACCATGTATTTTAGCATCTATTCTGGTCCAGTTCACTAAGCCCATAGACTTTTATTGTATGTTTATTACTATGAATACAATTTTTGTTTGTTTTTACAAATTAAGTGATGAGTTGAAGTTGCTGATGGAGCTTGTATTAAAATCAGAACATTCCTTTAGGAATCATGAAATCCATTAAATATGTTCGTAAAATGATTTACAGGAAGTGTTATGACACAAACTGAAAATGGCACATTGGCTGATCCTACACACAAGTCTTCAATTCCAGAGTCTCCAACTGCATGTTGTTTAACTCTGTCACATGCTCAAACCAGCCTGCAGCTGTCTTTAGATCCGTCAAGTGTTGCTCGGGCTTCTGTAACACTTTAATTTTCTTAGTAAATTTTGTATTCTTGGTCTTTGCTGCTAGTGGTTCTAGGACTGGAAGGGAAGGGGTGGGTGGACTCGGGTTTTCTTGCCAAACTGAATGTAAATGAGTTGTGATTTGTACCGTGCTCTCTTGCTGTGCCTTGAAGAAACAGATCTTAAGAAGTAAACAGAAAAAAAAATGTTATGTCTGACAATCCAGCATGACCTGCAATATGCTGCATGGACTACAGAGCAAGATAAGACAAAGAAGCTAAATTCTAAAGCGCATTCCACCAATGAATCAATCAGGTGAGAGATTCCTAACAAGTTTTAAACTTGACTTCGCCTCGAAACATACTCTGTGCAAGTACATAAATGATTCGAGCTAAGTTGTTGATTTTGATTTCTGAAATGTGTCAGACTGTTGCATTGCATGTTGTCTTCTACAGTCAGTTTTATACTCTTTCAGGTCAACTACTGTCATGGCGAAGCAGCAGTTTGAGCAAGTTAATTGCTAGCACGCAAAAAAATATTCAACAAGGCAAATGCATTGACCAAATATTTGCGTCTGCATACTTGTGGAAAAGTATGTTTCTGGCCATACTGTTCAACAGTAAACAGTTGCATTCCAATCGCATCGAATTCACACTAATTATCATTGGTTTCACAGTATCTATGAGATACACAAACATGCAAACACTCTTACGTCAATGTCTTCAATACCTACCTGATAAACTGCTCTTGTGAGATACTTTTTGATATTTACTTTTGTTCTGTTTGCATTCGCAAGCTGTTGGTGTATACAAATGTGTTTTCGATATTCAGTGTTGGTTTACGGAATGTGGCTTGAGGTGCCATGTCTTGTGATGGGGCGCTTATGACAGTACATTGCTGCACATTGTTACATTGCAGCAGCACCGCTCGTAAGGATATAAAACTAAATTTACAAAAACTTTATGCTGTCAAGTAGTGTCTTTATTTCATCATTCTATGTGTATTTTAACAAATTCCTAGCCTAACTAGTCCTGCACTGTTTGTGCTACACTGAGAAACATTTGGTGTTGAAACTATTTTTACTCAGTAACTTCTAGTAAAAGGGATAGTTCACCCAAAATGGAAATTCTGTCATTGATTACTCACTTGTGTTGTTCCAAACACGTAAGACCTTTGTTCATCTTCGGATCACAAATTAAGATATTTTTGATGAAATCCGAGAGGTTTCTGCCCCTGCATAGACAGCAATGCCACTACCACGTTTAATGCCCAGAAAGGTAGTAAGGACATTATTAAAATAGTCCGACTTTATTCAAAAATTTCTTCTCTTCCATGTCAGTCTTTTACACGTGTTCACGAGAGTACTACGACGCATTGTGTGTGCATTCCTCTGCTTTCAAAGCTCTCGGATTTCATAGAAAATATTTTAATTTGTGTTCTGAAGATGAATGAAGTTCTTACGGGCTTGGAACAACATGAGGGTGAGTAATTAATGACAGAATTTTCATTTTGGGGTGAACTTTAAGTTACTTACAAGTAACACACTGAATTAAACTTGAAATTTTGAAGTAGAAAGATTGAAATAATGATAAAACCTACATTAAAGGAGGGACCAATCCTGATATAGAAACATGGGGACTGGGCATTCAGAAGACCTCAGGATCCACTAAGGAAACCCCTGGTGATCTTTATAGCAACATTATCATGGGCAAGCACATAAAAATGTATTCAGAAAAAAAAACATCTCTATCTATCTATCTGTCTGTCTGTCTGTCTGTCTTCTATCTGTCTGTCTGTCTGTCCGTCCGTCCGTCCGTCCGTCCAAAAAAAGTCTCAAAAATATTTTTCCTGGAAGTGTTCTTCAGACTCAGTCTCAGAAAATGAAACGTCGCCCCTTAATTAAATCTCCTGCCATACCAGAAGACAGCCAGTGGTCACTTGACTGGTCAACGCTTGAAAACTGCCAATTATGTTTTTCCTGCACACTAGATGTCATTATCATGTGTTATGCGTGTATGTGTGTGTGTGTGTTATGAGACACCGCTGCAGCACAACAACTGAAGCCGCACATGAGAAATGCTTCCAAAAAGTAGGACATGCACACTCAATCATAATGGAGCCAAATAAAATGTGGACTGATGTTCTGCTTCACTGAGCTTCTACGCAGCCTCTTAAAATTCATGATTTCTTCCCCTGTAAATATCTGTTCCTTAGACTTGTTATAAAGACCACAACAGTAGGTTACTAGAAAGGAATTAAGTTGCAGTATGTTCCAGGATCTCAGTTATGGAAGTTTCCATTTCTATATGGAAAGTTCCATAGGTTGAGTAGTGCTAATAAATGGAATTACATGTGTCCCACCATCAGATGCTTTTGGAAATACGAAATAAACCCATAAAAATGAAAGATATTTAGATATTTAATTGATTTGCCCTTTGAATCGCTGTGAATGTCCATCCACAAGCAGTCTTTGGTTTATTTAGGGTATTCAGCGGTTTTTGTCTCAGCTATTATTTTCCTTTCTTTTGCAGAACTGGCAGGAATATCTGACAGAAGGCCAAAATGTGGATACATCTAAATCTCTAAACATTTTTCCAGAAGTAACAACCGGGAGACAGAAGCATTCTATGATTCTATACTGGGCTGTTTGTTAGTGCCACTGCTGGTCTGTATGCATGTGCTGAGATGTGCTTATGCAAGGACACTGACCCAACCATGTGTCCATGCACACATTCAGATAAAAATGGCTTACCAAATGGTTAGAGATAGATAGATGGACGGACGGACGGACGGACGGACGGACAGTCAGATAGATAGATAGATAGATAGAAGACAGACGGACAGACAGACAGACAGACAGATAGATAGAAGACAGATGGACAGACAGGTAGATAGATAGATAGATAGATAGAAAACAGCCGGACAGACAGGTAGATAGATAGATAGATAGACAGACAGACGGACGGACGGACGGATAGATAGATAGATAGATAGATAGATAGAAGACAGACGGACAGACAGGTAGACAGATAGACAGACAGACAGACGATAGATGGATGGATGGATGGACGGATGGACGGATGGACGGACGGACAGATAGATAGATAGATAGATAGAAAACAGACGGACAGACAGGTAGATAGATAGATAGATAGATAGATAGACAGAAAACAGCCGGACAGACAGGTAGATAGATAGATAGATAGAAGACGGACAGACAGGTAGATGGACAGATAGATAAACGGACGGACGGACAGACAGATAGATAGATAGATAGATAGAAGACAGACAGGTAGACAGATAGACAGACAGACGATAGATAGATGGATGGATGGATGGATGGACGGACGGACGGACGGACGGACGGACAGATAGATAGATAGAAAACAGACGGACAGACAGGTAGATAGATAGATAGATAGATAGATAGATAGATAGAAGACAGATGGACAGACAGGTAGACAGATAGACAGACAGACGATAGATAGATGGATGGATGGACGGACGGACGGACGGACGGACGGACGGACGGACGGACAGACAGACAGACAGACAGACAGACAGATAGATAGATAGATAGATAGATAGAAAACAGACGGACAGATAGATAGATAGATAGATAGATAGATAGAAGACAGAAATGACTCGCTAACTTACATACAGTAACTGCAATGAGTGGAAAGTTCAAATGTTCAGATTAAAATGATCCCGTGTGGACATAGTAGCACAACTTGCCTTTGCCAGGACTTTTCGGGATTAATTACACTGATGTTTACCTTTCAGCGGGGTGAGAATTCCCTGATGGTTGCGGTGATTAATATGTTGGAGGCATCAAATGTGGCTGAGTATATGCTACAGCTCACCTCTCTAATGACAGGCTGTGAAGAGAAGTGAGTCTGCATACTAATGACCACAGTTTGGCCTGGCCCTACACAGTCAACCCAATTATTTATGTGTGTGAGTGTGTATTGCTATAGAGAGATGGAAAATTACCAGTTTAACTGATAGTAAGAGTCATGGTTTTGCACTATTGTTCAGATGTCACATATGAATACTAAATATTATATTTTATGCTGCAACTATGACACATAAACAGCACCTGAAGTAGCAAAAAGAATACAAAATGTTCCATTTACATAGACTATTTGCTATTGCATTAATGTTTCACATGCTTGAATGTTTCTCGTCGATTCTTATGCACCAAAGCTAATTGTTGCCACATAGCATTACTTCTCATTTTCGTTGTTAATCTCTGCTCAACTTAGTTTCATTATCAGCTGTAGTCATTCAACTCCCATTGAAATGAAAGTCTTCCGTTTTTGGTCTCTGCAAATCCTTGCCAGTGTGAACAGCCCTTAATTTTATGCAAATGAGTTGCGAATACCATTAAAATTATAAATTGTGGAGGTCATGTGATCTGTAGTCAAGTTGGAACGACACAAAGCGCAGGTGACATAGAGCCTAAACTCCTAAATGTATAGACAGTGCAGAAATGTCAAATTACTAAATGACTTCTTTCTCAGTATATGATGATAAAAAATCATCCATGTTGTATAAATGAGAGCAAAACAAGCGCAGGTATGTTTCATCAGTGATGTGCTCCACTCGTGCATGGGAGCAGTGAAGAAAGCAATACACTCTGCTTGACATTTTCCTTCTGTCTCCTAAGCAACCTTCCTGAGCAGGCAGTCTTCAGGAGGTGAATACCCCTGGGAACAGAACATGCTGCTTTCTCTTCCTCTGTGCCATATGCTTGGAATAGAACTGCTGCTGTTTTCCCTATTTGACTGCTACCTGTGTTTGTCTCCCCTGCTGTGCATGTGCATCTGAACAGCTTGATTTGTTATAAACCAAGTTGTCATGTTAGAATGTTTGCATTTTATTAGCACGGGAATCTTGATCAAGTTAATCTTTCTTTTTGCACTATTATGCTTGACCATCTGTACTGTAGTCAACATTCGCTACCAGTTTTACAGTACGTTATTATTTACAGACCCTCATGTCATCTATATTTTGAAGAAATAATTTGAAAGAAAACAGTTCTGAGACATTTCTCGAAGTATTTAATTTTATGTACCACAAAAGAAAAAGTCATACAGGTTTAAAATGACATGATTTGACTTTGATTTTTAGATTAACAGGGGGGTGTGGCTGACTCTTAACTTTTATAAAGAATATCTCTTTGGATTTGAGACTTTAGTCTTTGCAAATTTACAGATCTTCTTTATGCACCAAGAGCTTGTAACACTCCAAAGAGAAAGGAAAAAATGAAATCGCATCATATGACCCCTTTAAGCAAACGGTTTTTGCTGCTGTACCTTTAAGACTCCTGTATGTAAATGATTTTAAAATTGGCTAACTGTAATCTTTTAAAGGGGTAGTTCACCCAAAAATGATGATTTTCTCATAATAAGTTGCAGAGTACGAAATGCGTTGATATGTAAATATGGGTGGTCATATGTTAACATGGTCATGGTTGTGACGATTATGATTTATTATGAATGCCTAATTTTAGCAGCTTAATTTCCATAAATTGTTCAAATGGACTAGGAGGAAAGCCGTGCTTTGTGATTATATCTTCACAAAGTATTTCTTCATAGTACATCAAGCTATTTTATTTAAAAAGAGCAAGAAAAACCCATGATTTGTCCCCCTTAATAACTTTAAAAGTAATGTAATTTTCATTTTGTCCCAGATATGTCGAGCCGCACTGCTTTTAAATGTTGGCATAAATGTGTGGTGTGAACTCTTTTTGGGAATTACTGTTACAGTCTGCTGCAATTTTCTTGGCAAACACACTACGACAACTTTAAATGTGCAGAGAGTATTTGATAACCATGTGACCGCTTACTGTGTGCAGTCTTGTATTTCCTGTCATTAGTGGGATCCTGAGGGAAACTAGTGGAGATGTCGAGGAGAGGT